CGTGTATCGATTTGAACCGAATAAAAAGAAAAAAAAAAAGCAAATTAAAAAACATTATGTCGAACAAAATTTTCAACACACACACACTGAGAGAGATACAAAAAATAAAAATAAAAATGAAAAGGAAAGAAAAGTAAAACCGATAAAGTATTTAAACGAGTAGATACGCTTTTAAAAATAGGAATAAAAATGTCTAGTATCATTCATTGGTGATGGTGGTGGTGTTGGGTTGGTTGGTAATAGTAGTAGTAATAGTAGTAGTAGTTGAGAATCGATACTTGGCGATTTGCAGACTGCGAGAGATCAAAGGAATCTCTCGTTAATTAGTTAATACCATAGAAAGTTAAAGTAAGAGAGAAAGAGAGCTTACGAATTGCAGATTAAGTACAATTCATTGAATATCAATTATATCCTGTTCGTGTAAAGGGTTAACCGTTCAACGAGATTAGATCGAATCAATGAAATTGTTTTCTATCATTCTTTGTATTTTCTTTTTTTTTTTTTCTATTTCCTTTTCGTTAAAACTTTTCAATTATTTCATTCGCGAATTTCTCTAGAATTACGTTTGCATGTGTGATATATATATATATTGGATTGGCATGAAAGTACTTGCGGATTTTTTTCCATAAAATTAAAGTGTTTTGTTTTTTTTTTTACTTGTAATGAACTTTAATCTATGATGTATAGTCCATTTTGTTCGATGACCTTTTACCATCTCTCTGACAACTTGAATATTCCACGCTCGTAGAATTTTTTGGCCCAAAAACTGAAGTAAGTACGATTTTATACAGCGTCATCATCATTAAAAGTTCTACCACGGAGGGAGTTGTCCAGAGATCGAAATAAGTGGTAATCCGATGGTGCAAGATCAGGGCTATATGGTGGGTGTAACATTAATTCCCAACCAATAACCATCAATTTTTTCCGAGTGGCCAAAGATGTGTGCTGCCTAGCATTGTCCTGCTGGAAAATGACACCCTTTACGATTGACCAATTCTGGTCGCTTTTCCTTGACTGCWGCATTYAATTTGTCYAGTTRCCKACAGTAGACCTCCGAATTAATGGTTTGGTTCCTTGGAAGCAGCTCAARATACACCGGACCTTTCCAATCCCACCAAATTGAGAGCAGAATCTTCTTTTGTGCGATATTTGCCTTTGAAGTGGTTTGCGATGACTCATTAGGCGTGCACCACGATCGTTTTCGATTGACATTGTTGTATACAATCCACTTTTCGTCTCCAGTGATGATTCGTTTTAAAAACGGATCGAATTCATTGCGTTTAAGCAATAAATCGCAAACGTTGATACGCTGTGTCAGATGAATGTCTTTCAAATCGTGCGGAACCCAACTATCCAGCTTCTTAACGAGCCCRACACGTTTTAAATGATTCTCAATGGTTGTATGTGAAACATTTACCTTCTCTGCATCCTCCCGTGTAGTTACGTGACGATCTGCTTCGATGATTGTTTTGATTTCATCCTCATTCAGTTTAACTGGTCTACCTAAACGTTGCTTATCTTTAAGAGAAAAATCTCCAGAACGGAATTTTTCAAAGCAATTTTGGCATTGCCTTTCTTTAAGGGCTTCATCACCATACACATCACGTATCTTTTTTGCGGCTTGCCTTGCGTTCTTTCCTTTACGGAAATAATAAAGCAAGATATAGCGAAAATGTTCATTTTTGCACTCCATATTAATATTGAAATAAAGAAAGAACATTAAGATAATATCTGCGCAATGATTTCATAACGTTAAGTAAGGATTACAGATAACATATATAATAAAATGAAAATCATAACAATAACGAGTATTAGAAAAATCGGAGTGAATCATCTATAATCAAAATCCGACATTACTTTCTTGCCAACCCAATATATATATGTGTGTGTGTATCATATATGTGTATTATTTTGCTAAAGTTTATCTCACGCATTAATAATTTATAATGAAGTAGATTTAACCGTGCACAAATAATAATAATAATAATAATAGTAGTAGTAGGGAGTAAAATGTTAACATCTTGCAACGAGCGCAATTTGAACCTGCGGGCGGGTTGGTTGGTTGGTTTGTGGGTGGGTTGGTGTGTTCGTCGTTGAAGAATCTCATATTGTGGGTGCGTGCTACTCGCAAACGTTTAATTTTATGCTCTGCGTTTGTTGAATACAAATCATTCGTAACAACGTGTTGTCACGGATACTATTTCACATGCTGCTTGTTCACAGATGCGAATGATACGTGTGAGTTTTTTGATGGGATGGATGTAAAATAGAAAGAGAAAAAGAGACCAACAAAAAAAAATAACAGAAACTTTGTTAAACGACACCGAAAGTTATAAATTGTTCATTACTCCAATGTGTTTTGAAACAAAACAATAAAATATGTGAGTAATTAGATGAATATATTCATTGGCATTTGTTAAGTTGAATAAAAAATGATGGGATAGTAAAATAATTTTGTAAATTACCTGAATTTGACAGACGACTTCACCGTAAGGCCAACAACCGTAAACTGCAGGTAAAAAGCCAAAAGGTGTCACCAAAAGACCAATGGCGAGGTCGTTGCTCGCTAGACTTGTCAGCAAATATCTTGGCTATAATGAAGGTTAAGAAAACCTGTTGATCAGTCTGATTCTCCTTGATAACTTCTATCTTTCTCTTTTTTTATTTTTCTATAACTTTATCGTAACTTTATTTTTACCATTAACGAAAGTTTTATCAACTTCACCTATCATCGATTTGCAATATCATGTTGTTTGTTTGTTTTTTTGTTGTTTGACTTCGTAAAAGAAAAACAAATGTTCTGATTTAATTATAACATTTAAAATGAATTTGTAAATACCATAATTTATAGAATGAAATGATTTTCGAATTTTGTAAATAATATTTAATTTTTTTTGTAAAGTGGATCGATCATATAAAAGTTTTAATTTATATACAAATATGTATAAACAATGATTTTTATTAAATGGAAAAAAGTAAAACGAATTGATGAATGAAAACTGATGAATTTAAGAAAATATTTGAATAATTGTTAAAATTATTTATAGAATTGATTGAACATATAAAAATGCGAATTTCCAACTTATACGAATAGACATAGAATCGATAATGTTGAATCGAATTAACGTAAATTTGATGGTGAAATTCTTGTCCAATGGTACGAAACTAAACTCGATGTTCACGCGAATTTCAACCAAAATCCTAGACTTTGTGAAGCACGGGAAACGTATCTTCTGTTTCTACTACCATAGACCGCAAAAAACTTTTCTACTATTCACGGAACTTTTTCGATTTCGACAGAATAATAATTCATCGATCGTAAAAAAAATGGGAAATAAAAATGGTGGGGTTTAGGGGGATAATTCCATGGCTTTGGTAATAAATCCTCTTTCAACGAATATCAAAATTTACAACGTAATAATTGTTTCTTTTATTTTCAAACGATTATTAATACTCGTGCAAAGAAAAAAAAAAAACCTAAAAAAAAAATAATATTTAAAAATAAATTATATTAAAGAAATATTTTTCTCTATAATAAAAATATAAAAATATAATAAAACGCGAGATTTATGAGATTAAAAAAAATATATTTTGTTTAAAGAGACGAATTCCGAAAAAAAATATTCTCACGCATTCGTATAAAAATATATTGTTGAATACTTTTTCTACGAACGTCTATAATTTTTTCTAGGATCTTTTAAAAGGTATCTCTCGTTCAACGATATACAATACGTACGAAAAAATACTCGATTCCATTCGATACGATAGGTTTGACGATTCCCGAATGTTATGAGTACGTGTATGATAAAAAAAAAAAATAAAACGAAAGAAATGAAAGATGTGTGTGTGTGTTTGTCTACTATGTTCGATTCATGGTAAAATGAGAGAAGAAGACTCATAGTGAAAAATAATTTCATTTCCAAGAATATTTTTTAATCAATGAATTCGTACAATAAAAATTAAATAAACAAACAAGTATCGATTAATAAATCATCGAGTTTTATTAATTAATTCATCAAACTTACATCTACAATTATTTCAATTTATACAAATAATAATTCAAAAATATTAAATCATAGATCGATATTAATCAAAATAAATTTTTATTAACAAATTACATGTGAAAATGCATTTCCAAAAATTCTACATTCTTGCATCTACATTTAGAACGAAGTTTACGATCATTCTATTTTTTTTTCTTTTTTATTTTTGTTGTTGTTGTTGTTGTTTTCGATTTATGTGATACAGAATTCGTATTCTAAAAAAAAATCGTGTTGAAATCTATGAATAACTAGGCGACGCGTATACTCTCGTGTTCTTTTACGGAATATCTGTCACGAGGAAAAAAACAAAAAAAAAAAAAAAAAAGAGAAGAAAGATGATTGGTGGTAGGACGTGTAAAAATAACACGTGAAAAATATCGATCAGTTCATTCACAGAAGCAACAAAAAATATCCCAACATTTAGAATTACGATATTTATATAAATAAATAATTAACTATGTTTATTTTTTCTAATAAAACACGCGTGTTGTATTTTAATTTTCTTCTTATATTTTTTTCACTATTATAATACAATTAATTATTTATTTTTTAATACTAAAGTAATTTGGTACTCAGAGTACTTGCAAATTTTTTAATTGATAACCAATATTCATTTATTACGAGATTTTGTTTTAATTTTATATACAAATTTATATAAATAAATATTTCGAAAATAATTATTATATCATGAAAAAAGAAAAAAGAAATTATTAATAATGAAAATATTATATTTGTTTTTTTTTTTTTTTTCTTTTTTATTTATAAAATTTTATATATGTCTATTTTTTTTTGTTTTATGGTGTACAACTTGAATGATCTTATACTTAACTATAAGTTATACTTCATCGAATGAATTACGTGCTACGGATTTCCTATTAATTTGATGTCTATATGTAAGTGATCGATACTTGTTTAACACACATCTACACATAGAAGGGGATATACACATTTACATACAAGTATTAAATATACGTAGAAAATCGATAATATAATATAATGTTTTTATCGAAAGTGTACAAAAAAATAATAAATTGAGATATACAACAAGTTTTTATTTCGTCAATATATTTCGATACTATTAAATACTATTTATATTCCATACGAATATTAAATCGATTAAGAAATTTTTACTAAACGTATCTATCTACATTTATGTCAATGATATTAAAGCTGCAATCTCACCCCACCACCTCCCACCCACCATTCTCCGATTATTCTTAACCGGTGGGGTAGATTTATTCGATTTGGGAAAAAATAAAAAGAAACAAAAAAAATTACAACGATCATACATCTAAATGATACTTTTTTTTATAGGACAAAATACGCGACAAAATTCTCTAATGGATTTTACATCTCCTTTCCCYCCCCCCCCCCTCTCTCTCTCTCTATTCCCCCTTTTTTCGATATCATTTTTCTTCGTTTACATCGATATGAGATTTTTGATTTTACAACGTTTATATACTACGACACGATAAATTTAACTAGAAGTTTTCGATTAAGAGAATTGATTGATGAAGCTGGTCGGTTATTTAAATTCACCCCTTTCCTCCCCTCCCCTCCCCTCCCCTCCCCCCCCCATCCGTTCATTTAAACGTTCAACATTATTTCTAATTTATCATAAAACTATTTATTATATTAATTTGACTGTGGTATTTAATTTTAATTGATTTAATACGAAAATAATGATTATTAAAATAGTTTGAAATAGAACACCGTGTATATTGTAATAATTTGCATTTTAATATTCTCTTAAATGAAGTATAGTATATATATATATATATATATGTATTTTATCGAGGTAACGCGAAAAGATTACAGGAACATTGATGGAAGGGTCAGAGGTATATAGATGCAACCTAAAAGGTATGAAAGGAATACGTTCACTACCCTTTTTCTCGATAACTTTTATCTACTATCGATCCTATTGCATTTTAATCTTTTTTATAAACGCGAACAGAGTGCTATCGTATCCTATACACCATCTTCTTCTCTTTTTTTTTTATTATTTTCTTTTTGAATCCAAAACGTTCGATACTAAATGTTCACAAAACAAATGATTTGAAATACAAATTATTTGTACGAATAAAATAATGAATATTAAGATAAAATAATGTGAAATTAATTTTAATCAAATAACAATATTGTTCTATAGGATTGACTGATCCCTTATATCCTGTAAGTTATTACAAAAATGTATTAATTATTATGAAAAACACAAAAGGATCGATTAAAAATAAACAATATTATAATTTATAATTCGTATAACATATATTAATCACAAAACTTTATTAATATTAATATTTTAATATTAACCCTTTTTGTACAATAATTATTATTATAATCTATTTTCTTATCTCATAATAAAAATTCAAATGTATTAACTTTATTATTCTATAAAATATAGTACCTTTTTTTTAAATTGCATATAACAAATATCGATAAATAAAACTAATATACAATTTACCAATAAAACTATTTCAAATTGATTGATTTTATTTATTTTAGTTCTACAATTTAAAATATCATAAAAGATTAAAATAATTTTAGTTAAATCAGAAAAAAATCTGATACAACAATACGAAAAGGGTTTTTTTTTAATCAAAAGTAAATTATACAATATATCAAATAAATATAAAAATCTTACCTGTGCATGAATATATTTGCTATATCGTCTGCTGTTGATGACACAAATAACGAGTAGGTTAGCAAAAAGTATACCAAGGCTGAGTAACAAGATCAAAGCTGCACGTAACAATTCCCCAAATCCTGGCCCTGTCCAAATCGGTTCAGAATTGCCGGCTCGCCAGCAACTGCTGTTGCTGAGTGCCGGCGCCAGTAGAATCGTTTGTTTGTGTTCCATCCTCCTCTTCCTCCTCCTCCTCCCACCCACCACCACCACCTCCTCCTCCTCTTCCTCCTTCTCCACCACCTCCACCACCACCTCCACCACCACCACCGACAGGTGTTCGACTTTCCACGACGCTTTTGACTGGTTGCTTTTCAAAAATATTTCACCCTTTCTTCCTAATTCTACGCAAGACACGTGTCCTTCTCTTCCAACGTTTTCTGACCCTTTCATCCCTGTTTTCTAATGAAATTTAATTCGTCAATTACATCATTTTATTTGTATGTAAACATTTTGATTAAATTATTGTCACGTATAAATTTATTTTTTACTTTTTAATCTACAACTGTGGGTAGGAACAGTAACAGAATTTAGAATTTAAATTGTAGGTTGAAGGGTTAATAAATGTATGATTGATTACATACAAGGGTTGAAAAATTTCATCTTTGATTTTATATTTTATTTGGAAAGTTTGTGTTAGTCCATTTGTAGTTTGTAAATATATATAGGTATTTTATTTATGTAAATTAGTCTAATATTAATTGATATAATTAAATTATATTATAGAAATATTTTTACAGACTTAATTATGTTTATTTAATGAAATATTTT